GTAAATGTGTTACAACATTTCACCTTTCTTGGTAGGTCTTCTATTATCTCAATGTGGGAGATTTAATTTTAATAACAAAAAAAATGGAAATGTGTACAAAATGAAAAACTCTGAATAAAGTCAGCTAGACTATATTTCCAAAACATATATTTAGAAGAAAAAAAATAAATTTAAATTTAAAAATTTTCAGTGATCTCTTTGTTTCATGTGCATGTGCAGTCGCATCAGCGTAAATATCAATTTAGTCTGATGATGTTCTAAAGGACGACTCACATTACACAAAAACCTTTTCCACTTTGTCATAGTGTTTTTCCCCTAAAAAAAAAAAATATATATATTTTCTGTTTATACGTTATTTTTATAGATACAAATATTTAAGTAAATGCTCTGTTTATAATAAATAGTATTAACATTTACTGGCCTGACACAGATCTTTTATGAGATTTCTTGCATATTCAGGCTGGTAAATGTTAATACTGTTTATTATAAACAGAACATTTACTTTGTTATTTATATCTATTAAAATAACATATAAACAATAAATATATTAAAATAATTGTTGAACTTAGTCCATTTCATAATATATGACATCATTTGTTTACATTAAGATATGCTTTGAGCAGATATGAGCATTTGATAGAAATGATAAATTTGTACTTTAAAAGCAGTAATTCGACCTTGCTAACCAGACACTTCCTCTGTAGCTAAATGGTATAGCACATCAGGCTATATGATGGTTCTGTGTGGGATACAGGTTCAATTTCTGTTGGAGAACACATATTTTCTATGACATTTCTTGAACATTCAAGCTGGTAAATGTTGTTAATACTGTTTATTATAAACAGAGCATTTACTTAAATATTTGTGTGTGTGTGTATATATATATATATATATATATATAATTTTGAAACTGGAACTTAGAAAATAAGTTCTGGATTATAAGTTTTTAAAGTTCCCTTTTTCTTTTTAATGTTTCTTCAGATTGATATATTTTTTATTAATTATAAAAAAAAAGTTCTACATTAATTTTGAATTAATGGTTGGCATCTTGTTTTTGAGTATGCCTGTGTACTATGGCAGCTGACCAATCACTGTTGCAGACACCTACTTAGGCAGCTTTGTATTTGTTTGACACCCACAGAGCTCACCTGTGATTTATACTGTAATTATGCTGGGCAGACCTTAGTTACAGTTTCTGGAAGAGTAAGCACATAATCTAGCATAATTAACACTTTGAATAAAACCCCAGTATGTTTGAGACTTTGGTTACTTTGTGTTTCACAACCATTGATGTCTGTCCAATTTCACTCTCTAGACTTGGGTTAATCAATTGTATGGTTTCCAGGTACTTCCAATGGTGTTGCACACTAGGATTGGCTCCTCAGACTGATAACATCAAGAAATTGTCTCCCTGACAAATTGACCCTGGTGAGAAAGCCAACATTCTAACCACTTCGTCATGTGCCCATTATTTCTTGTGAAATACATATTAATCATATACTATAAAGTTTATTCATATTCTAAATATTAGTATAAATAAATCTTTCTCTTTCTGTGTACATTTTTAATTCTAAATAGTGTGTGCCTCTATCACTGGGATATAGTCTTGAACAAGTTTTAATTTGTATAATTAGTTTTATCTTAAAAAAAGATTCATTTCCAGATATGTTTGTAGACATTGATATTTGGCAAAACAATTTGACTGTCAAAAATATATCTGTATGATGTAATTTTTTATAGGTGGGGTTGTTCAGATGTCAGGATTATTGAATTTTATTTTTGTCTTGATTTTAACAAGCCTAACAAAATTTGTTCAAAGATTGGATGTTGCCATTTGACTTGTCATTAAAATTGCAATGAATCTTTCATATTACAACAAACCTGGGAGAGAGAAATTTGATTTCTAATTAAGAGTGAAAAAGCAAAGAAAGTCTTTACTCTTTTGAGCTTGGCTTGCAAATTGTTTTTCATAACAATTACTTTATATCTCAGAATATGAAACGACTCATTATGCTATGAGTCAGTTACTACTTAACTAGTTTCTAATTAGTATTTTTTTTTCTTTTACAGGTGAGTTCAGACATTTTGACCTATGACCAAAAATTTAACAAATTGGTAAGTTTTTATTTTAACCCAGATCTCAAACTTAACAAATAGACCTAAAAAAACAAAAATTGAAATAGGGAATTTTTTTTTTCTTTTCCTGTAATCAAGAATTTTTGTTAGAATTTTTTTTTTTTTTCTAATCCTATAATAATTTCAACATGATGTGGCCATAAGCTGTGTTTCACTTTTTTTCTTTTTCACTTCTCAGGAAAAGCCTAGATATTTCTGCAGATTTTCATTTTTCATTATTTCATTTTCATATTTGCTGGAAAACTGACATCCATTTTCTTACTATCTTTTTTTTTTTTTTTTTCTCACTCTCTAATGTGTAGCACCTGATTTGTGTATTTATTATTTTGAACATTATATTAATATATTCCTTGTCAGATTTCAGTCATTTGCATAATTCACAGTGGATTGTCTTTCCAATCTTGTCTTCTGAGTCAGTTTATTGTCTTTACTTATGCGATAGATTCTTGTCTGTATCTCTGTACTTAGTGTTTTGGTAGCTTTTAATATATTTCTTATAGAATTGTTCTGGGTTATTATTTCTCTCTTCAAATATTCTCTTTGCAACCATATATCTCTCTTAGTATATCAGTGGATTGCCTCAAATCCCTTGACAGGATTGGCACAATCTTCCATGCTAATCAACACTTTTTTTCTATTATTTATTTATTTATTTTTTTTCATGTACAGTTTTTCAGTGTCACTTCTTAGTTCTTTTTCATATTTTCGTATTCAAATATTTGAATTTTGTTTTGTTCAGTTTAAGAAATATCCTGAATATCTTGCTAGGGCAACTCTCCATGTATTTGTACCTTTTGATCTTCTGCTGTGGAGTCTTGTTTCTAAAGTCATCTTTGTTCTTCTGAAGCATTTTTTTTTGTTTTCATTGGTTACATTCACCTTCATTGAATTTGCTTTTAGTATTTCTAGATACTGTTCTGTTAACAGTCTTAATGATTTCATTCTTTGAGTTCATTTCCTTTTGCTGCTTCCTGTTTATCCTTTGTACATAATCAGCACATTTATCAATTCTGAACTTGAATGCTTTAATTTTGGGAAATATTTTCAAGATATTCATGCATAGTATATGACCAAGTTTTCCTGTGATTGTAATTTTCTCTCCATTTATAATCCCATGTGATACAATCAAGGTTATTGTTGTTATGAAAAGTAATGAAAAGTATTATTATAATAATATTATATTTTTTTAACCATGTCAGTTTTTCTCACCAGAATCTATCTTACATATTTATAAGTCTACCATTCACACTTGCTTTGAATATTGCTGCCACATCTGGTCTGGTGCTCCTGCTATATATTTAGAGATATTTGATAAAATCCAAAGAATGATGTGAACTGTTATTGGTCCTGACTGGGCATCTCAGATTCAGTCACTTTTCCACCAGCATAATGTAGCTTCCTTGTGCCTTTTCTGTACTTTTTTGGTAATTGTTCTAATGAACTTTCCCCGCTATGGAAACTTTATGAATTTAAACACAGTACTAGATTGGTGGCAAGATTTCATCATTTTACAGTTGAAATGACTAGTGTAAATTCTATGTTAACAGTTTCTTCTGTCGCACTTCTTGCTGATTGGATTCTCTTCCAGTTTTTTCCTTTCCAGACAACTTTTGATCTTCAAAAATTTAAATGCGAAGTCAATCGTTATCTTCTGTCTTAATTGTTCTTTTATTGTTCTTTTTCCTTAATAGTGCTTTTTTTTTTTTTTTTATATTCTCTAACACTCAGCACCCCTTTGTGTCCTAATTGCTTTATTGCCTTGTTTGGAATGAAATGATTTAAAAAAGAAATCAATGTAATTTAAAAAATAAATTGAAAATGCATGTATCCCAATTAAATTTTTGTTCTCGCCTTAAACTCCAACTTTTGACAATGGATAATATTTCATAAACATTTTTAGAATGAAGTTTTTGAGTTCTCTTTTTAAGATGAAATTATATATAAATTTCTTTGGTACCAAAGATGACGTTTTAGAATTATATATTTGTCAAAAAGAATGATTGTATTACAGTAATAAAAAAAAAAAAAAAATTAGTTTTCAAAACACATTAAAAATTTCTAAGAACATTTAAAGTTGAAGGTAATCCCTTACCACCCGTGAGGACCTACAGGATACCTCCCCTCCCATTCCTGCCAATTCCTTACTAGATTTAGTTGTGGAATTTTTCAGTAAATCCCATAATTCCTAGCATCAGAGTTTTTCTTAATTCCAATAAAGCAGATCCGCTTTAAAATAAGTTTCATGTTCTTATCTATCCCAGGAAGGGGTGAGGGGGTTTTGTGTCAGGCACCACCCTTATTGTCATGGAAACCGTCTGTAATCAAGTAATATGTCAGGTTAGTAACTGTAAAAATTGACTGGTTTATGTCACTGTTGTAACATCAATTCATTTTGGGGGAGGATTTCTTATTTATCAGCTTAAATGGTATTCTCCAAAGTTTAACCCAGAGTTATATACAAAAATTCTGCTTGCTTCAAAGAGATTTCTAAAATAATTAAGAGAAAACATAAAAGCAATATTTGACCTGATATTTGGAGAAGTAATTTTAATGATAAACTTTTTTTTGTTAATTCTTTGAAGAAATCTATTTACTTAATGTAAATTAATTAGTTTTTGGGCAATTTTGTATACATTAATTTTTTCTTTTACTCTGGAATTGTTTTCTTTTCTTCTAAAATGTTGGCTACTCACTCTGATTACACAAAAATGATGAAAGGTGGTTTTATTTTTTTTTTGTTTATTTTCCATTTCTAATTTTAATTTCAAACAAAGTCCCTGTGTATCTTAATTTGAAATGCAAATCTGACAAGTTGGTTTGTTTCCATTGATTTCTAACTCTAATCTTTTAAACAATCTGGATTCATGGAAGAATGGCCATTTTTAGAGAATTGGCACTTCTGCTCACTCCCTAATTTGTCCAATCACTTCTTTTTGATTGGTTTTGCTTGGTTACTTTCTTATTACCTTTTTTTTTCTCCCTCACTGGGTCCTTTTTCTCTCCTTCCTCCCTTCTGTTGGTCCTTTCTCTCTCCTTCCTCCCTTCTGTTGGTCCTTTCTCTCTCCTTCCTCCCTTCTGTTGGTCCTTTCTCTCTCCTTCCTCCCTTCTGTTGGTCCTTTCTCTCTCCTTCCTCCCTTCTGTTGGTCCTTCCTCCCTTCTGTTGGTCCTTTCCTCCTTCCTCCCTTCTGTTGGTCCTTTTCTCTCCTTCCTCCCTTCTGTTGGTCCTTTTTCTCTCCTTCCTCCCTTCTGTTGGTCCTTTCTCTCCTTCCTCCCTTCCTTTTCTCTCCTTCCTCCCTTCTGTTGGTCCTTTCTCTCTCCTTCCTCCCTTCTGTTGGTCCTTTCTCTCTCCTTCCTCCCTTCTGTTGGTCCTTTCTCTCTCCTTCCTCCCTTCTGTTGGTCCTTTCTCTCTCATTCTATCTGTTCATGTCTCTCTTAATACATCCAAGCATTTGTCTGTCTGTCTGTCTGTCTGTCTCTCTTCGTTGTGTGCCAAAAAAAAAACACACACTTTATTCTTGAATCCCAAACAAATGATACATTGTAGTTCTCTAGGCACACTCTATCAACATTTCCCAGATAGTTGGATATTGGCTTCAATGATGTCAATGTATGATTCTTTTTCTACTTTCCTTTACTGCTTTTTGTTTTGGAAGAAGGCAACATTTCAGGCCCAAAGAACATACAATGAAGGGAACCATACCAGTCTTCAATCTTTTCTTGTGTTTTTGTTTGTTTTTTTTCTTTGACAGCTTTCAAAGAATTGTTACTTTTAACATCAGCCTGATTTATTTTTGGTTTGAAGATGTGAAGGAATTCTTTTTTTTTTTTTTTTTTTTTTTTTTTTTTCTTCACCCCCAATCTGTAAATTGTTTTTTAAAATGTCTTTGTCTTCATCAATTCATAATTTTCAAAAATTCAACAAAAGGGTGTTTATTTTATTTGTGCACACATACACACACATGCACATGTTTTTACTTAATTGGTCTTGATAATATGGAATACTGTTGTGGAATAGTGATGATTACCAAATTTTACACTTTCTACGATAAGGAGTTCAATCTTCTCTCTGTGATTCTGTTAAATTAAGCTAAACTTAAATATCTGTTTCTCATAAGTTAATGATTAATCCTTAATGATTGCTTTGAATGAAGCTGGTGTATCTTGGCAAAACCATCCTCCTTTAAACATTATCAACTGGTGTGCTACAGAATCACAAAGAAAGTGCATCACTTGATGACTTTCAGCAACAGTAACAACTAAAATGGCTAAAACATGTAACACAAAGAGAAAACAATGACATAATCAGGATGTTGATGTTCAACATTACTTCAAATAAAAGGTTAAGAAGGACCCTCAACAATACTGGGGGTGGGGAAGCAATAACAGTTAATGAACTTGGTAAACATATTTTAATGAAAAATTGTTTGAAGAGAAAGATTTTATAAATTTCAACTGACAACAGTACTAGTTGATTTGTCAATGAATGCCAAATATTTCCTTATAAGGAAATGGCTAATATTACTATTAGGGAAAAATTTCTATGGAAATAAGAACACTGAAGAATCACAAAGTTCAATTTGTTGTGGAGGAAAATGTCTGAGAGAAAATGAGAATTTCATTTATAATAATTAATATTCTAACAATATTAAATATTAGATAAAATTTAAAATATGACTTATTTACCTTGTATTTTTATACATAAACTCACAAAACTCAATTCTTATCCTAACAAAGTGTACCTTATGACTCTGTCTATTGTAGCCTTGTGTCAGACTATGCAAAACTGGAAACTCTGTGCCATATATTAACCGGCATTGAGGTGTATGTAGCTAAATTGAATAAATTGATTTTTTTAAAAATCTTTCTCTTACACACATATATATATATATATATATATATACACACACATTGTGAAATGGACAAAGTCCGACAATTATTTAAAAACATTTTTATGTTTAACATTCTTTTTATAGATACAAGTATTTTAGTAAATGCTCTGTTTATAATAAACAGTATTAAATAACATTTACCGGCCTGAATGTCCGAGAAATTTTCATAGAAAAATAATTTAATACTGTTTATTATAAACGGAGCATTTACTAAAATACCTGTATCTATAAAAAGAATGTTAAACATAAAAATGTCTTTAAATACACATATATATAAAAGTGAACATACAAGTCAACACTTAGAGGCGACGGTCTGTTTCATGCTAGATGAACTCGTCATTGCATCTAGCATGAAACACTGTTACCTCTAAGTGTTGACTTCTATGTTCACTTTTATATTTACACACGCTCTCTCTGATATTGAGCACTTTATCCCATAAATATAGCACATCTTAAGACTATATTTCTTCATTTTTATATATATATATATATATATATATATATATATATATATACACACACATATACATTGTTAAATATAACAGACAATAAATGTCTATTATGTTTGATCATGAGTCGTTCTAAGTTTTGTATAGTGGCTTTAATTTCAGGGGAAAATAAAGACAAAAACTCTCCAACATTTGGATATTTTTTTATTATGCTGTCCCTTGACCTAAGCTTTCGGTTCACATGAGTCATCATCAGTGTGGTTATATGGACATTACAACAGAGATGTTCATCATCAAAGATGACGTCCTATTATGTTTACATAGATGTTTGCTATGTGATAATAACAGTCGTGGAATAGCAGACACACATCATAAATTCATGATGAAGTTCTATGATGAGATATATATGATCAGAAAAAAAATTAGTGGTGGCAGGCAGAAAAAAAAGATCTCGGATATGGAGAAGGTTTGACAAAACGTTAAAGGAAATTATTTATGAGAGGCTTAGAAAAGAGTCTGTCTATATTTTTCTTTTTTTATGGTTTTATTTCCAACCATAAGATTTGGGTTCAAATCTCACCCTAACTGATTTGGCAGGAAGGTGGTTTGTTGATGTCATCAGCCTAGAGAGTTGATTGCAACATTTACCACCATTGAAAACCTACACCACAGGTTGACTCCAGCTCAGTTTTCAAGTGAAATTGGGTAGATAGAACTGTTCAAGTGATTGATTGTGCTAGCACAGTCACAAGTCATTGTGACTGAGGGTATGAGCATGCTGCCTTTGTTAGAACACTTGATCATGTCAAATGATGCAGTTGCTCCCAGAAATCATAACTTTTGTTCACTCAGCAACTTGCCTCTGTGGATGCTTGAACAGATGTCTGCAAAAGTGATTGGGTAAGCCACCTGTGCAGACGGATATCATCATAGATGCTTATACTTAAACCTCTTCCCAAAATCCAACTAAATATCAATATTTTAATTTTTTAATACCGTCTTGGCTGGGTCAAGAACTTTTCAACATCTATTCCATCAATGCGTTTTGCATATTTAGTTTAGAATTATTCTCTTTGTGACAGTCTGTTACTTCATCAGTTCTTACTTTATTATACATGACATTCCTCTCCAAGATGAAAATAACTGGAGCATATACCAACCATTCCTGCAAATAGTTGTTATAATTGTTAATTATTAAATGGCACTAGTCTTTTAATACAAGGAATGCTTTAATGGTCAGAGGAAACAGAATTTAATAGCTTGAAAGACAGAGAAAGATTAATTAGTCATGTTAAGAATTAATGAGTGACTTGTAAGGATTTAATTTAGACAAATTGTGATGGGGATAGATTAAAGCTTATTGTTTGGGTTTTCCGCATAAAGCCTTACTGGGCTGTTGCTATGACAACAGTGTAAAGAGAGGAAGAGGAGAGTCAGTTGTTGATGGGGAAAGCTGCTATGGTGCACATTGGCTTAAGCAGTCACACTTTTGCATTGATACAATCACACAAATAATTTTTCTTGAAAGATGCTGAGATGAATATTTTATGAGAAATGAAATTCTTCAAAATGGAAAGAGATGAAAACTATGGAAATTGAGTGAGAACATTTGGTGGTGGGGAGAGAGAGAGAGAAGGTAAAGAGAGTTGAGAAAAAAAGGGAGATGATAATTCATTTCTGCTGCTTGTCAATATCCATACTGTATATTGTCAACAGGCAAATTCAGTTTGGAGAAGAAATCTAGGCTAGCACTATTTACAAAACGATCATGCAACCATGGAATCTGGTTGCTTTAAAATTAGTTTTGTGTGTCTTTCTATGCTAACCAAAGTAATTTTAATAAAAATACATCTAATATATGCACACACACACACACACACACACACACATATATAATGTCCCATGCCCACAGTACAATACTTGTGAGTACATTTTTATATATATATATATATATATATACACACACACACACACACATAGAAGCTGTAAACGTTTTTGGTTTTAATGTGGATTTTTTAAAAATATATATTATACTTTATTTTCCATATTTTTGCTAAAAATATGGAAAATACAGTATAATGTATATTTTTAAAAAAAAATCCACATTAAGACTAAAAACGTTTACGGCTTCTCTCATCTCTTCAAAATATACAACTTTCTCTTGTAGAAACAACTATAACCTCTCCCTTTTATTATCTATCTATCTATATATATATATATATATATATATATATATATATAATGTTACTTACATGTGTTTTCTTAATGTTTGGGTTCCTGGTTGTTAAAGTACGATCACAGTTGATAGCTTTCTGTTGAGCGCTTTTTAATCTTCATCATAGTGTTTGTTTTTATTTAGAGATATGTTATTGGTTGTTTTAGTTTTATAGATAATATTAGACAATATTATTGGGTTAGTTCATTATTGCTAAGTGGGGGGTTGATGCTTTTTATGTTTTAATGTTGGGTTTTTGGTTTTTGATGAAGATCGCTTCCAGAATTTGTAATTGTTTTTTGCATTTGTTTCTGTAGAGGATTTTGGTGGTGTTAAGATTTTTCTCATGTCAGATGATTTGAATGGGTTACTGGTGGTGCTGTGTATTGTTGCAAGATGCTTTTTTTTTTTTATGACACTGGTATCATTAACGTGGTATGTGAGCCTACATGAGAGAGTTGTGGTTGTGTGTCCGATGTATGTGCTAGGGTTATTAAAGTCATTTAAAAATGTAGAAATTAAAAATTGATCATTTTATATTTCCAAATATGGAAGGCAGATTACATTCTATAAGAAAACAAATTTATTTTCTTCTATTATTTTGTTTGTTTGACCATTTACATATTTCTTAATTCATAAATAAGTCAATTTTTTTTTTTTTTATCATCAGTGCTCACACTGAAACCACCAAACACATGTGTGTGTGTGTGTGTGTGTATATATATATATATATATATATATATATATATATATAAAGAATAATCACACATAGAATTAATCAGAAGTATCAATGCAATTATTGGATACATCCATCGCTAGAAAACATAATATATGCATTAAAATCCTGTTCATCCATAGTGCGAGTTTTGATCCTTGAAGAAAAACTTGTTGTCTGTAGTTTTTCAGTTTATTTGATGTTAAAAATACTAGTACTTATGGACAGTCTTCCATCCATCATCAGGCATGTGTTTTTTTCCTTATAAAATCAAAAACTTGAGACGATATACCTGTATGTCTAATTTAAAAGATGTTTTTTGAATATCTGCTATTATTGACGGTTGTAAGATATCGGAACGTGCAAAGACGCAATGCTAAGTTTTTCAAAACTTTTAAGTGAGAATATTTAACATCAAATAAACTGAAAAACTACAGACAACAAGTTTTTCTTCAAGGATCAAAACTCGCACTATGGATGAACAGGATTTTAATGCATATATTATGTTTTCTAGCGATGGATGTCGCCAATAATCGCATTGATACTTCTGATTAATTCTATGTGTGATTATTATTCTTTGTATGTAAATCATATGCTGCCTAATGTTTTATATATATATATATATATATATATATATATATATATGTGTAATCCATCTCTCAGGAGAATCTTGGAAAAAGTACAAGTGTTCCTTGATCAAATTTATTGATAAATCCCAACTGTATCTTTAATAGTTGTAAAATTAGGCCATCTTGAAATTTCATTACATTTTGCCAAATAAGGCTTTTAATGACCTTCTGGCCTTCATAACTTGAAGATTCTGTGTGTACAGATTTGTTTGTTTACTGTAACTGTGATACTATTTGTTGTTGCTGCAGTAAAATGGAAAAAAGTTTTGTTAAAGTGTTATGTATTGAGAGACATTGAAATATGAAAGGTCAATACCAAAAACCCATGGGAAGAATTGAGGATTTAATTCACACATAAACAACTTGAAGTGTATGTCTAGCAGTTTGAACAATGGAAAAGTGACCCAGATTAGGGGGAAATGTTGATTGACACACAGCTACAAATGCAAGCTGTAAAGTGAAAAGTTCATTTTTCATAAACAATGAATTTGGAGTTGATTCCCCCCTAGTTGAAAGGTGGGTTGAAATACCAGGAGGAGGTGGATAAGTCACCCATGCTCACTGAGGAGATGTAATGAGAGGTAATAATATGAGAGAATGGAAGAAGGGAACTCCCCAGAATTATTGAATTCTCTTACTTCACCAGTTTGGGTGAATGTTCATAAATATGAATGCATGAAGACAAGTCAGAGTAGAGAGGCAGAAGAGATGGAAATGAGACCAGAGACAGGAGAGTGGCCCACGTGATTATCTGTTGACAAAAACCTCCGACTTCAGCCTTGTGCCAAAATTTATGAAAGCAGCAAACTAAACATTGCCAAGTCAACAACAATAGTATCACTCTATTTACATTATTTGGACTATTGTCCTCCTCTTTGTCACCATATTTATTACAACATTTCGGCCATTGTACGCTCCAGCTTTCTTCAGGTGGTAGGAATGTTGAACTGAACTCTTTATTTCGCTCACTGGGATAGACTGTTCTAGTTCCAACCACCTGAAGAAGGCCGGAGCGTATAACGGCTGAAATGTTGTAATAAATATGGTGACAAAGATGAGGACAATAGTCCGAATAATGTAAATAGCGTACATAATACCTCATCTCAGACAGATACTGAATAGTATCACTTCCGATTTAGATGCAGGTCAGGCTTACACTTATTGCATGTGGACTCTGATATATCCAGTTATTTTATGAAAGACTGATCTAAACAACATTTATGTTTTGTTTCATTTATTCGCGTTATTTTTTTTCCTGTATGTCTTCACCCTGCTTGGACCCACCCAGCATGAAGATACCTATGACGATTTGGTCTTGGCCTTTTTATAATCAAATATAAATCACATGGGATAAGGCAGGTCTGAGATTAAAGGGATCTACATCAATCAGCTGCGGTGTTGGAAGTCTTGGATGACTGCGGAAGGTGTTGTATGATTACATAACTTACTAAAATATTAACATCTTAGGAGGTGTCTCTTAGTTACTTTTATTTTTACAAGTAATTGAATATGGCTGAAATGCAAAAAGGCACTGTTCACTTTGTGAGCTTCTCATTTACAAAGTATGTCATATGGACCATCCAAATTACTTTTCCTATCATTTATGACCTAATAGATTTTCTTTTTTTCTATTCCATAACCATATTCATTCTTGTTATAGAAACATCAGGATTGCAGTTTGGCAATTACTTGATATGTTTTTTTAACATCTTTTAAAATTTCCTTTTCTTCATGACCTCAACAAATTTGTATATTTTTAACACCTTTTCTTACTTGTCTGAAGATTATGTGATAAGTTTTGTCTTGTGGATTAACTTACAACTAGAGTTGAAGCCTAGTTTTCTAGAACAACTTGTCATGTCAAAATCATAATTTTGGCAATTTTGGCACCTTATAAATTTGATAGTAAGAAAATATGAAGTTGAAAATTGTTACCCCTAAAATCTTTGATACAAATAAACTATTTTTGTTTGCATTTTACCTTTGTTTGAAATCATTTTTTTTCCCAGATAATCTACAAACATTAACTAAACATGTGCTTTTATGGGGTCTTGTCAGCATTCTCAGGGCACACTTTGTGTAATAGACCTTTCAATTGCCAAGAGACTGCACTGAATTGCAAGCACTCTCATAATACACTTGAAGGCTTTAACAATTTTAGGAATAGCAAATCTTATAGCAAGGTTAATGAGAGCATTAATCTGTTTGTCTTTGTTTTCATTTATAGCAGAAGCTGGCCTACTACTAAGGGGCCTGTCACTAAGGTTAGTTTCTCATTTTTCTCTAGGATAGCTGTTATCTCGTATGTGCTAGAATCAAGAAGAGCCTTTCCATAAACATTCACTAACCCCTGTGAATATTTGCAGCACATTCTCTTTCAAAAACAAGTCCTGTGACAGCTCTTTACTTCCTATATCTACAGGGGACAGTCATTTTCAAAGTGGATTTATAGGTCAGAAAAAAAAGAAGAAAGAAGACAACATGCACAATAACTCTATGACAGTTTATGGTTTATAAATACCCCAGGAATTCTAATATTTTTAAAACTAAATTAAGACAGATATTATTTTTTGACAAAGTAATATTGTCAGTTATTATTGATATACATAGATATTTTATTAAATTTGACTGACAAAGTTCATCTGTATTTTTTCAAAATTACATTTCTTCAGTCTATGTACAAATAACTTTATATTCTGATAAAATTTATAGAGAAACTGATTTGATTCAGATATACACTTGTTTGCATTTTACCTTTGTTTGAAATTAATTCTTTTTCCAGATAATTTATAAACTTTTTAATTAAACAAAGAAACTTAATCAAAGACATTAAAATAAAGATTCCATTAGATTATTCCATCTTAGATACATAAAGTCAAAATAGTGAAAGTACATCATAATTTGTTCATGTTAAACAATTTTATTGATACTTCAAAATATATACAAATCATTAGACAAAAAGGCAAAAACATCATAAAGGATATTTTTAATGGAAACTGGCATAAATATTTAGGTTAAGAGATAATAGTCCAGACCTTTAGTAATACGTCAATACGATAATCTCAACACATGAGAATAAAAATAATAGTGAATCATTCAGATGCTGGTTGAAAAGCTTCTGCATGTAGAGTCATACTTTGTCCAGTATTAACTCTCAACTTATCCCATGCACCAGTCAAACAAATACTTTGAGACATAAATTGAATAAAAATGCAATAATTTTTTTTTTTTTTTTTTTTTTTTTTTTTTTTTTAATCATTTGCTACAAACATTGAATAGGATCCTTTACTAAAGTAGATTTGTTCTTAACGTGGCCTGTGTTCAGCCATGGCCTGTGTTCAGCCATGGCTAATTGTATTGTAGCTTAGAGTAGACCAAGGAATTGGACTAATAATATAATTACTAATAGAAGACTGCAAAGATTAAGTGAAATTAATGGAATCAGATTTGTTTTTTGTTTTTTTTTGTTTTTTTGTTGTTTTTTTTTTTTTACTAATCATAATAATTCCTTGGTTGTCTTCTCCTTATCAAACAAGACCGGACTTGATATCTGTTGGTCAAGCAACAGCCTGAGAATGTGTCAATGAGTTAGTAGTATCATCATTTTCTTTATTTCTTTTTTATTTTGATTAATTTTCTTTATTAATTTTATATGTAAATTTGTATTTAATATGCTCACAAGGACCCCTTCTGTCAGTAATTGCAGAATAACTTTGGGACTATTACTTATCTATTTTATTTAATTTCTTCCTTTTATCTTATTTTTAATATTCAGGTGTTTCTTGTTTATATACTAATAATGTCTTAATTTTTTATTATAATATTAAATTCTTTTGTTTAATATTAAAATTAAATAAGTCAAATTTTAATTTTTCTTTTATCTACAATCTTTAAAACTCTTCTTTTTTTCTTAACTTTAATGATTGCATTTTCTTATGTAATTTTTTCCAATTTTAATTTTTTCCTATTTGAACAAGTTAACATTTTAAATATAGGTCATTGCTAATCTTCAACCATTTTTAACTTCTGTCTAGACTTGTACTGTCTTCCTTTTCCCCTCTCTACTTGGGTGTTTCTTTTTCTATCTGCCTCTTAAATGCCTTTTCCCTTATTTGTTGTTTTTTCCTCTGTTCTCTTTTTTTTTTTTTTTTTTTTTTTTTTTAAAAGTTACAATTCATTTTTTTATCAAACTATTTAGTATTGACAAGCTCCAGGGAATTTATCATGGGGAGCAAAATGGCCATATAAAAATGGGGTACAATTGAGTTTCATTTTTATGTAATTTATTTCTATGCTCTATAATAAATATATTAAGCTCTTTTTGTGGATCGGCTTTAATATTTTATATTAATTGGATTACTTACCCACAGATTTTACCTATATATATATATATATATATATATATATATATATATATATATATATATTTATAAAACGCAGATTGTGTGTGTGTGTGTCTGTAACGTTTATATATTGGATTGGATTTCCTACATTTTTCAACCGATTTCAACAAAATTTCACAGGACTACATAAAATTACCTTGTGGTGGTTCTAACAGCGCCAAAAATGGGAAAAATACAATTGTTTTTGCACAAAATCAATTTGAAAACACGATAAAGAGACATTGTGAAAATGGAAGGGGGACAGCTCACATCGGATTTCCTATATTTTTCAGCCGATAAAACAAAACTTCACTTTTTTTTTTTCTTTTTTTTTTTGGCAGGTAGTGTTTCTTATTCTCTTGCACAGTTTTTTCTTTATTTTTAACATTCAGAATGGTTTAAAAATTCCATTTACAAGACAATTATTTATAATAAAATTCCTTTTCAATTGGTAGACTCATAACGATTGAAAACAATGTTTTTGTTTGAGTTTGACCAATTCGTAAAAAATTAAAACTAATTAAGTCATGCGTGTCCGTCAACCTTAAACAATAATCTAACGATCTCTACTGATTGTACGAATACAAACATCGGAATAAATTCTTTATCTTTAGGGAAAGATAATGAAATCTAAACATACACAAGTCCTAACTAAAAATAATAACTGGAACGGGAAACTATTTTAAATACACATGGTGTCCAATTTTTTTACTGTATTCAATAAGTAAAAATCATAAATTGTAAAAGATTATTATTACAGAAAGGTTACTAAATGAATAAGATTTGTTAGATCATAATTAATAAACCCAAATAAAGTTAATATTTTTTGTATTAGAAACAACGAGTGGAAAATATATTCAAATCAGAATTCTAATTATGAATCACCACAAGCAAAATATGCATTTTTTTTTTTTACTGTATTCAATAATTAAAAATCATAAATTGTAAAACTAAAAGATTACAGAAAGGCTAACTACATTTTTCAACTGATTTCAACAAAACTTCACTTTTTTTTTTTTTTTTTTTTTTTTTTTTTTTTTTTTGGCATGTAGTGTTTCTTATTGTCTTGCACACATTTTCTTTATTTTTACATTCAGAATGCTTTTCTTTAAAAATTCCATTTATAAGACAATTGTTTATAAAATTATTCTATTCAATCGGGAGACTCATAATGATTGAAAACAATGTTTGGGTTTGACCAATTCGTAAAAAAAAAAAAAAACTAATTAAGACGTGTGTCCGTCAACCTTAAACAATAATCTTTGTCAATTTTATTTTTCAGTCTTTATGATGGTGAATACTTGATCTATCTCTTACTGTTATATCCTCGGCAACGCCTGCTCTACTGCTAGTATATATATATATATATATATATATATATATATATATATATATATATATATATATAGTATTTTTAAATGTTATAGTGAATACTGGTATTTGAAATGGGTGCCCTATTTTTTATTTTAAACTGTGTATTATGTCTATTGTCCTGTGTATTTGAGAAATCTTAAAGAAAAGGTGGTCTCCAGCAGGGATAAAGTCTGTCTACCCCTTTGTAGAAGAAACCCCTGTTTGATGCCATGTTTATGGGGCATCTATTTCAAATAAAAGTATCCACTATAATATGTTGTAATAAAAAGATTAAAAGTAAATCTATTAATTCTTTAGAAATATATATATATATATATATATATATATATATATATATATATAATGTGTGTGAAAATATATAGAAAATAGGAAAGAACATCTTCCGTTTCAAATTTAGACACCCCCACCTTACCCTGACTTGACATCTATGAAAGTAACTCTATACTGATACTTAAGTATTAACACCCAACACACGCCTACCCAATTTAAACAATTCGCCCTAGCTGATACCATGGAAATTTTGATTTCAATTATTAAAACACGTAAATTTCAGAAATAAGTTATTCCAAAAAAAAATTTTTCTTGAAGATGAAACAGAGCTTACTTTAACTCAATTTAATTCAAATAATTATATTGAAGTTTTCGACTCTTGTTTTGAAACATGAGACCTCTTATGTCGCGAGTTGGAATCATATTTTTAAATAAATAATTATATATAGTTAAACAATTTTATGTAGAGCCCTAAAATATTTATTATGCATATTTACTGGACCCAGGGGAAAGTCTTAATATAAACATTTTCTTCTTCATAGGGAAAGATGGTCCTACTCTTTTTTTCTGTTCTATGTATTTACATTTAACAAAAAAATTCATTGTGTTTTGCTAAACAATTTTCCTTGCCAGAATCTATCTTACATATTTATAAGTCTACCATTCGTCCATGCTTTGAATATTGCTGCCACATATGGTCTGGTGCGCCTGTTATATATATTTAGAGATCATTGATAAAATACAATGAATAATCTGCGATGTTATTGGTCCTGACCTTGCATCTTGGCTTCGGTCACTTTTCTGCTGCCATAATGTAGCTTCCCTCTGCCTTTTCTATAAATACTTTTATTGTAATTGTTCTAATGAAGCTTCTGCTATGGCATCTAGACTTTGTTTAGTATGTGTGTGTGTGTGTGTGTGTGTATGTACATGTTAAAGCATGTTTACATGAGATCTATATGGAACAACAGGTAAGATGTTAAATATGAAATGGTTTGCTGATAAAACAAATCTATTGTCATCACCAAAGTTTTTTTCCTGTACACTGATGATTGTGGACTTGTTGCTCACACCCAAAGTGATATGCTACATTTTATGGATTCCTTCCCAAGAGAATTTTAGAATTTTGCTAAAACTGTTACTACAAAATTTGATCTAATGTGTGATGAATGCAGTCATGTCTGTCAAAGTATGTCAGGATTCAAAAATCATCAAAAGCACCACACTCACAAGTCATTTATTACACATTATGCTGTATTTATGTGACAGTTATTGTAAATGATGCCCCTAAGTTGCTACATCTGCATGAGACAATGTAAGAACCTAGCAGGACTAAAAAGCCATATTTGTACTATCCATATTTGAGGATGGATCAAATGATGACATTACTCAAAATAATCACAGCCATCACACACACACAATAAAAATGTAGTTTTATGGTAGGCTATATTTATGACAAGTGCTCAACATCAATGATAGAGCATATATAAATGAACATTGAGGCCAACACCATGCTTAAATGCAATCTTGAGGCCAGAAAGATTACCTGAAGAGTGTGTTTGTGTGTGTGTATGTATATAATTTTTTTTTTTTTTTTTTTTTTTTTTTAAGAGAAGCCACAAATGTTTTTGGTTATAATGTGAATTTTTTTTTTATTGATTATACTTTATTTTCCATATTTTTTGCTACATGTGTTTTGGATATTGTGACCTTCATCAGGCAATCAATGGTTATTTCCACATATTATTTAGAGGAATTATTTTTTCCTACATTTCACCATTGTCTTTTGTGTGTGGTAGTAATCCAAATATACACACACACACACACACACACACACACTCTCTCTCTCTCTTCTTGTCCATATCTATACTTGATCAATTTGTAAATGAAATTAGTATAAAATCTTATGTACCTAGACATTAAGAGATTTAAACAAGTTTTAATTAATCTGTAAGGATAAAAACAAAATCCTTAAAAAATGAAACTGGAGGGGAAAAGTTTTGGCCATGTTTGTTTTTTATGGAAAATTTTGTATTTTCTTGTTCTTACTTGTTATTCTGTTAGAATTTCCTGCATTCTTGAAAACTTGTGTGACTGCTTCTTTGGCTGACCTTTAAGTGTCTTTGGCCTGTGTGAGGATGGCTGAGAACTGCTGCCAAATCTTTGCATTGTCCTCAGCATGCTAAATTGTTTCCGCCCACCCTTCCTTCTTTGCCAACATCATCATCATATTTTGCCTCATCCCCTATTGTAGGCTGTTTTTTGTTTTCAGCCAATAGAATAATGCCTGCTCTTTGTCGACTGCATTGACGTCTGATTTTGCCCATTAATAAACTTGATTTGGCAATGTTTAAGTATAAAAGGAAATTCAAGAGCAAGACTTATTTTCTCAATTGTCCAGTGTCATATTGACAGTAGCTGGTGTGAATTGTACTAACATTAGTATTTGTGTAATAGTAGTGTTAATAGAAGCTAATCTGATTGCGTTAATAGATTGATCATGTTATAGCAGCTGGCCAGGTTGTCATAGATTTGGTAGGCAAATGTATTTACATCTACTTATTTGGACAGAATTATTAGTTTGTCATTGCTAATAATAAGCACGTCATGAGCTACATGGTTTGCAAAATTTGTTATCAAGAGTTCGTCAGCGTAAATTGACACATGCAAATTAACACACTTCAGAGGCACTGAGATGGTTGACATTGAAGATAGACTACTAGTCTGGATATTGAAGGGACAAACTTCTTGATTGTTGATGTTCATTAGTACAAATCAAATTCATAATCACAGCAGAGTGTCTTCTGCTAAGCAGTTAGTCTTTAACATATAAAATAAAATTCTACCTGCAATACTGATGCACGAACATGATGGGCAGTTGAAAAATTCTTGGGCCAGTTTTATTTTTTTAATTTTTTTTTTTAATTTTTAAAAATTCTCAGGCCAGTTTTATTTTTTTAATTTTAAAACATTTTTTAAAGGTTTTCTTGGTTGATCTTGACTTTTAAGCCCCTTCTTGTATAGACATACAGACAAATCCACATTTGCTTGGCAACTATGTTCCATCATT